TTAATATCTTGACCTTGAGAGGGAGCTATACAACAAAAAGAGTTCATTATTTATAATTTCATAACTTCATAACTTTACACTCGATTTCAACCGCGGCAACGATCACTGAATATTGTAGGATCGCATATGCTTCCAATATGTTCATTTGAACCAAATTCATGACCCCTTACCAAAACTTTGTATTACCTTTAAGGGAATATTTTCAGTAATCTTTTGAGACAAGCTTACATGAATTTCAGGTCCTAAAAAATTGCTTTTCTGTGAATTGAGTTCTTCTGAAGAGATTGAGCTCAAATACCCTACACAATTTTCCTATTATATACATCTGAAATGCCTGAATCAAAGTTTTCTTATTCAACTCCAGTCTTACCTTTATTCTGTAAATGCAACCTTTTGAAGCTCTCTGATGTCAGGATAGGCACTTTAATGCCTTTGATCTGAACCCATTTATCTATCATTTACCCATGTCATTATTCCTCCCTACGTCCGTACGTGATGAGACGAGACCCCTAAAGATAATGATAAACTAGTTCAATGTCATGTCTATGAGCTTCATGTCATTCTTCATGGAGCATCCCCTACAAAGATATTATAGGTAGCATATTAGGGCAAGACTGAAGTTTGGGGACGGAGATGCGAAGGAATCGATGGAATTCCTCTTACTTGTAGTACCTTTTCCTTTTTAAATATGATTTTCTGAACCTACCCACTTAAAAGTCTTTCATCTTGGTTGGGATCTGTGCTAACAAAGCACAGTAGTGTGTTTTAAACATCTTGCACATGAAACAATGTTTCTATGTGACTAGGGAGTTATGACTTTATCGCTCCAGCAAACAATATCAGTTCAGGTTTACATGTATGTACACCATTATCAGCTACCTAAAGAGAAGGTTTAGTTCTGGTTCACGATCACCTGAAATGAACTTGAGGTTGGAAAGAGTTTCCTATAATCTTCTATACATTTGTTTCTCAGAATAGCGGAATGATGGATAACATTTATTTCTTAGCAGCAGGTAATCTCAATTGTCCGTATTACAAGATTCCACCTGCTGCATACTTTGATAATACGTGCCCTCACCGACCCTACCCTACCTGACCCTACCCTACCCCTTCCCCCGCAAAGACCACAAGTCGTACAATAGGACATGTACATGCCATGTTAGCAATTGTTATTGATGAAGAGGGCAAAGGATTGAATGTGGGTTTCTGGAGGGTATGTCATCACCAAAAATCAAGTGTGCTCTCCTCTCCCTGGAGGTTAGCCCTGAATGTGACCCCCTTTCACATCGAAAAATAAAAGCAGACAAAATTTTGGGTATAATAAACAGCCTCTTGTGTCATCTGCATTCTGTCATATTTTGGTCTCCCGAGAGAATATTTTTTATGTTTTTAAACTTGTAGTGAAGTGTCATTTTAGATCGTGCATGCATGGCCTAAGTGTGATACTTTTCATTGCCAAATTCGTTTACATACATTTCCCCCCTTGAATTGATATTCCCCCTCTTTTTCCCTTTTCAAATTCATTAGGAATATTAATTGACATGTAGTAACATTCCTGTCAGAAACATGTTTTCTGGTATCCTCCGACCTCTACTCCACTCAAAAAGGTTAACAGAAATACAGAAGTTAACAAATATATTCTCATATATACAATTCCATCTAATTACTTCGCAGCAGGGTCCTCATGTACGACTCATGTTCTATTGTTATCCTCTCTGTGCATATGACCTCTTGCATTAGTTCATTAGGGGGTCCCCTCCCAGGTCAGATCAAGATCAAATCTAGAGTGTGGATCGGAGCCGTCTAAGTACTCCGATCTGCCAGTGGTATTTATCATCCTCGCATCTTACCTCTCCGTCTCTGACAAGCGAGCAAAAGAGGATATTTTACCCCAAATCCCAGTGTTCTAATGGAGGAAAAGGTTATGATGCAGAAATATGCGTCTTATTCCCTGTATCGCTGGCTGGCATGTAGATTCATTCCTATTCAACCGGTGGTCTACGTGCAAGCGTACATGACGAGCTTACGTCATCTCGAATGGGTGGGGCCGCGGAGTATTTTGTTATCCCCGACCAGGAGAGCTGGGGTGACTGAAAAACAAAGTACTGCAGACACAAAAGGCTAATTCCCATCCCTGGCATGGGAAAGACCATGGGAGAGGGAGAGACATCAAACCACTTTTATTAAAAAGGAGAAAAGGCTTTGAGGACAGGGGGATTTGAATAGATATCAATGTCATTGTTGTTGAGAGAGAAGTGAAGCATGTAATAATAAGAGGAGAATAGGAGGGACTGACTGCAAAGAAAGAAAGGATTAATTCAAGAGTGCGTCTTTGATTCATACATTAATGGGATGTGCCGCCCGCTTTGCACTTTTGCAAGCTAGGTCAGACTTTTCTTTTTTTCGTAGAAAGAGTATATACTTCTTGTTTATTCCTTTATATCTTTTGTTAATAGGTAGGAATTAAGATATTTTACCTGACATTTTGGAGGACACTTTGGAATTCTAAGTTTTTCCAGCTGTCGGTTAAGGTGCTCTCTTTTTCTTGGTTATCATTCTCCAGACACATTTAGGAACTCATATTAAATAACATATCTAGAAAATGTTTTCTCTTCTTTCAACAATCATTAGCTGAGCCTAAGTATACTTTGACTTACACACCCTCTGGTGTTGAATTGCAGTCTCCTTCATGTTCTAGTTTATGCAGATCTTTTGAATTAGTCAGGGCCTGGTTTCCTAAAACTTGTTATCAACAACAAGTTATAATAACTGGTGTAAGCTACTGAAATTGTGGCATTTGATTGGCTGAGATCGGATGTGTCAGAAATTAAGCACTTGATATTGATAAAAAGTTTTATAAAACAGGGCCAAGATCTTACTTTGAAAACATTGACCGAACATCATACCACATTGACCGTACATCAGACCACTCTCATTGTTTTATGAATCAGGATTGAGGCTAACATAAACCATATATATGGTTATCAGACTCTCCTTTTACATTGAAAGATATCATTTAATCTGGCGTATTACTTTTGTTCAAGATAAGGAGACAACAATACTATCAATATTATGTGCACTTTTCATTGTGTTATGCAAATGAAACGAAATGCACATCGCTTGACATGGAAGAATTTTTGTGCAATGTAATTTAGCACAGAGGTCAATGAAATCATCGTTCACGGACGACAGGACAGCCAGGACCCCGCTCGATATCGCTCACTGTCCCCTCTTTGCGTTTTGGTTTGTTGGGGATCAGTGCCGGTGCTAGGATAATTCTTCTGGAATGAGGAGAATCCGTTGTCAAGACCAGATACCCCGCTCTAGCTTGGCAGGCTATTTTTGTTGCCAGTGTAACTTGCTGATACCTGACATAGATAGTCCCGTCTGTAGTATGCCGTCATGTGGTGTCTTTTTAAAAAGCTTCTTTGTTTGTTAGTCATCCTCCAGCATTAAAGGTAAAGACTAGATCAAAGCCAAGTAGGTTTAGGTCACTGAAAGGACAGATTATAATGCGTATTTATTACCCTTATATCCCTCAAAAAATGAAATTGTTCTCGGATTGGTCAAGAGCTCTTTGTGTAAAGTCATATTTCTGTTTAGAAAATTCTCAATGACCTAATTAGAGCCCAATTCGTTAGTTTCACTACTATCAGACCGATGCCTTTTACCCAACAATTGACAAATACCCTGCATCACTTTTTCAGACAAAAAGTCATAAAAATGCTTTTGAAAATATGCCAATCAAAGGCCTTTATCCCTCCTGCGACAAGTCTTTCAGCTCCTCACGTCTTTCTCTATAGACGGGACTATCCCTTTTTTTATACAAGATATCATATGAGGTTTATTAAATGCCAATTAGATACTGTGAACAGGGGGACCCCTTGTTGCTCTTTAGAGGCAATCTAAGCTCTCTGTTGCCCCCTGCAGATTTATTAGACATAATTATGTCAAGTTCATATCTCCTTTCCATGATGTCGATTGATTAGTCTCTCCATCAACAGTCTCAGTTCATATTTCTGATTTATGCATGAAGCATATGTCGGTTGTCAATTTTTACATTGACTTCATATGTGCCCTATCTTAAGTTTTCTTTTGGGATAGAGTTGTGTTTTTTTTTATGGGTGGGGGGGGGGGGGTGAGATACACTTTTGAACCTAAATTAGGTCAGCTATGAAATTTCCCATGCTCAATTAACTGCAGAAAAGGTTCCTAGCTTCCTATCTTAGGATATGCACTCTGTAGACTCACATTTTGATAAAAACATGTTTTCGCTTGATATTGCTGTATATGACGCACTTGAAGTACAATCGATTGGCCGTCTTGCTGTATTTATGTATCTTCTTTTTATTTCTCTTTCTCCCCTACCTATAAAAACTTGACTATGTTATCAATATGCTTCCTCCTTTTGTTTTCATAACAATTGAATATGGCATGGTTACAATCAGTCATTTTATTCCCTTTGATATCATTGTAAACATGGTCAATAACCACTTAAGAGGGCCTAATTATGCTTTCTGTACATGAGTTGACAAACTTAAAGTCAATTTCCCTGTTATCTGTAAGAGTACCAGGTACCGGTAATCATATATTCATAAATTGGGCAACTTTGAAGGTTTGAAACAGATAAATGGCGCCTTCTTGCTAGATTCATTTGTGTTCCTTTTTTATTATTTCTCTCTCTCCTGTTTACTTATTGAAAACTTGACTTTATATACCATCATCATATGTGTCATTAAAACAATTGAGTTTAATATTGGTTAAATCAATTAATTTTATTCCCTATGATATCAGTGTAATTAACGTGGTCATAAATGCAGCTCCTTTGAATGTTTGAAACAGACAAATTAATGGCGCCATACAAGTGCTATGGATCATCATCATCATCATCATCATAATATAATGATCATTGAATGTTGCATTGTGTAGATTGTAAAAAATGTTTGGAGCCAGAAGAGCAATAAAACTGTAAAATGATATAACATAATGCCTAACCTGACCGACAAAATGTGACTAATTAAGATATGATTCTGTCAATGATTATGAAATTTGATGAGTCTTGATATTAAATGTTTTATCATTTTTTATTGGTCTAAACAGTGAGAACCAGCACAGTCAACTACGGTGAGTCTACAGTGTGATGCCCCCATGCACCCTCTCCCTGTTTTACCTGTGTGATATTCTAACTCTATCCTCCTTTATAGCTTCATATACTTTCATAAGATCTGTTTGATTTACTGATGATAATACAGACAATTCTCCACTTGATATTCTCAATTGAGAAGTTTTCAAGGATATGAGGTAATTCTATCTCTATTTCTTGAGACTTTAATACTTCTTTCATCACAAAGATCTTATTCTTTCGGACAACCTTGTGCAAAGGAATAGATTCCTGATTATTTTTGATTGAGCGTGTTCTACTTAACTGATTTCTCTTTCCTCTCACTTCTGTGAATGTAGTGGAGTTTCTTACACTCATAGTGCATCTTTCACTTTATTGGGGGGGGGGGGGGTTCTGTAAAATTGTACCAAATAAGTTCTTTTTGAAAATATTGATAACTGAGGTATACAAATTTACTTTTGGATGCTTTAGGTTTGATTTTTTTTGTTTAATCTATAGTAAATTTCATGATGTTAAATTTTAAAGATGAAAGAAAACTAAATCTTCAGGTTCACTTCTTCCTAGACAAATGTGACCATCTTTTTTCTTTCTCTATTCTTTTAAATTTTAATTTGCATATTATACATTCATCACCCAACACATTTCTCTTCAATGATCATAGCTTTCATTTCAAAGCTAGTGTCATACTCCATATCATATTTTTCCTTGAATACATTTTTCCTCAAGTTTATCACGCCTCATTTGTGCAGGCTCAATACCTCTCATTTTTTTCTGACCTAAGATTTTGGGGCATAAACTGATTTATCACTATTTTGGCAGAATGTGGAACATGCCTTAGTTCCCTCTGACCTGGGAGTTGTTTGTCTAACATTTCATTCCTTCTTTTTCGTTGAAATCGGGCAAAGAAGAAACCTCAACGTTTTCATGCTCATCATGAACCAGAAACAAATACTGGGAAACCTTTATCCAAGTACTACAAGTTACTCCATTTTATTGAACTCGATTTGGAGACAAACACATATCGAGAAAAATCATAACCTCTTTTAACATTTTGTTAGAATTTCATGAAATTGAAATTTCCATTAAAAGCCACTCAAAATATAAGTCACAAAAAGTGAAAGTATTTCATGCCTACTTAAAAAACTACTACATGTAAAAGATTGATTTTCACTTTTCAATGATAAAATATAACAACATCTGTTGATTTCAAATATATCTGCATGATCTTAAGTATAAAAAAGCATCCCCTCATTTGAAAGTGTGCATGTCAACTTTTTACTGTTTATCTGATTTGCTGTGCCTTATATCTTTGATGATCGACATTTCTATAAACATAATATTGTGATGTTACTACATATATGATCTCAAGAGTCATTAAGATCTACTTTTTTCCTTTTTAGTCTTTACACAAACTGTGTATTCATTGGTGCTTACTTCAAATTGAAATACTTTTACTACATGACATGTTGCCTAATAAGATTGATTTTGTAAAATGGAATGTAGAGCACTTTTCAAAGAAATTGAGGTTCGATTGTACTGAGCTGCGGTTCGCTCTTGTTTTGGTGAAGTTTTATTTTCGGGAGGTGCTGGAGCGTGAGAGATCTCTACATCCCCCTTTGAAAAGGATGGAACACTTGATGACTTTAAGCCCTTTAAGGGGCAGACCCTCCAAAATAAGTATACCCATCCCTCCATAGATAGATCTCCACCCCTTGACTATTGCTGGAGTCTCCTTTTATAGCCCCATTACATTCTCTAGTAAATAGGCCCACAGAAAGAGAAAGAAACAGTGGGTGATTTTCCTCTGTCCTCTGTCTTCTATGTCTTCGGTGGGGAATGGAGAGGAGAGTTCTTTCACTGTGAACCCTTCAAAGCCAGGGGCGAAAGTTTGGGTCATTTGGAGGAATTAAAATGGGTTAGTGGAAGTGGATTTGCTTTTGTTCACCTTTTCTGTAAGTGGCCATTGTGGAGTAAGCATTGACTCAGCTCTAGCTCTTTCTCTACATTGCCCACTTATTCTATTCCTCTGTATATATCATCTTCTTCAACCTTCTCTCTCCTTTGCTTCCTATCACTATGTTGTTATTCTTCATTTTCTCTCTAAATTCCCTGCACAGATTTTCCTGTTTCATTTGTCAATTTCTTCCTCTCTTGGTCACACTCTTTATCAATCTTGATCACTTTCTGTATTTTCATGTTCTCTGTTTTTCCTAATTTTTTCTTTAAAGCATTCATGTTAGATACTTGTAAAATAATTTATTTTAAGTGTAGAAAGTCCTAAGCTATCAAATTGTAACATTCAAGTATGTCTGTCCCAAGTGCAATAAAATCTATACTTTCTGCAGCGTTTCTCTTCCATTTGAGCAATCATGTCTTCATAGTTCACAGCAGTGGCACAGTTGTGAAAATGCCATGGGTTTCAAAAACACATCATTCTGTCACCATTGTAATTGTCTGCCAGAAGCTATAAACAATTGATTTTTTGGGGGTTGGGGGTTGAGTTGAAATTATTATACATAAATTTGTTGTTTCAAGCAATTTTAAGATAAATATGGGAAAAGGTTCATGAGCCCTCATTCTCTCTTCCTGTCTGTCCTTCTTGAATGTTTCATTCTCAATTTCCTTTCTCTTTCTCTTTCTCTCTGTCTCTCCATCTCACTCTCTCTCTTTCTCCCATCGTTGTCTTCATCTCTCATCCTGTCCTTGTTTTTGTTGTCACCTCTCTCTCTCTCTCTCTCTCCATCTCTTTTCCTGTCTTTCCAGGAACATTTCTCTCTCTCTCTTCCTCCCTCCCTCCTCCCCTCCCTCCTTCCTTCCCTCCCTCCCTCTCTCTGTTGAAGATGGGCGGCATTGAAGAGAAAATAGACAAAGGGATGAGGGTTGGTGGAAGATGAATGGTCCTGCTTCTCACATGGGGGTAGGTTAGGGTCAGAGTGGGGTGATGATCATGGCAGTCATGAATTCATGTGAATGGGTGTCAAGTCTTCACACATGGACCCTTCAACCATATTCTCACCGTCAATGTCACCTTCATACATGTTATCTCCCAAAAAGGACCAGGCATGGGTTCCTCCAAAAAGTAGAATACGTTTAAAACATAATTACGATCTAACATAATGTAATTAAGTCTAAATTGTATTGTGAGTAGCAGGTTTTAGATGGTTGCTTACAGAGTCTGACCATGTTTGGGTCTGAATGGTAGAACAACTCAAGTTTACAGGTGTCAAACACCATAAGAATGATTTGCTTCAAATCAACATTTTCCTGATATCTTGGGTTGCCCTCTGTGGAAGAATTATGAGATGTTTGGGGCTAAAATTGTAGACAAATAAAGCTATAGTCTAGATATATGTTGCAGATGGCACATGACTCTATGCTGTGGGAATGAATATGTGTGATAGAAAAACAAGCAAGAGTTATGATTGGCTGATGAAAGCCAGAAGGGTGTTAGCTCTGTGTAAATCTATTGGAGATAGTGCCCTTTTGGCTCTCAACAGACAAGCTATAGATCACATGTATGTAATGCCCCCCCCCCCCCCCATTCCTCCAACTTGATAAATTCATAGGGCATATACATGTTGGTTGGTAGTCAAGGTTTTGAAGAGGTTAAAAGTGATATTTCATAAAACAATTAGTAATTAACCTTGCCTTTAAATAGCATTTTATTGCATATAATGATGATTACTAGATATTAATCATCTGCCAAAAGAGCCCTGTGTTTGAATTTTGGACACATTCTGTCATGAAATAGCACTTTTCTCTCAAGGTCCATTTCTTCCATGATGACATGTACCCATGCATAAAATCTATCTAATGTTTACAAGGAGTATGTATGGTGTATGTCTTTTGCCTTGAGACACCTTCCTGTCTATTGATCAAAGCATCTTAACCAAATATGTACCCAGAGTATAGATAGAGAGGTTGTCATAATTAGTTTGGAATTCATTACAACTTTGGAATACTCCCCATCCCCCCTTCTTTCTTAGTCCCATTATCACCAAGACAAGATCTTTACACTCCTCCTTCTTAAAACACGAGCTGGATTTAAATGGCCTGACAATGGTCAACAAAACAGGGGTTAGCTAGGGAGGAGAAAGAAGGAAAAAAAGCTTGTCAGTTAGCTGTGAACAAACAAAAACAGACACTGCCTTCTTTTAACGACAAATTTAGAGACATAGCGAGCCCTGGGCGCAGTGAAAGAGTGATAATACGTTGTGGACACTAACCCTTTGGTTAGCACTTGCTAAAACAAACTGGATATGTACTGAAAAGAGTGCAGTAAGTTCCATATCCTATTTGTACACATTCGTGGACCGGTGATCTTAAAGCTGTGTAATGGAGAGCTGAATCTGGCAGACTTTTAGTTTAAATGGTAAAGGGATTGATGGACAAAAGTAAGGAAAATGTTTTCGTTTTGGCTTGAGTTGCTTTTGTTTGCGAGGAATAGCCTTGAAGAAACAGGTAGCCATTTCTAGAAACATGCTATGCTCAAATTGACTTTCTAAAAGCTTGCATTGAATAACATACGTAACATAATGATGACTCATTGCCTGTTTGGTGACGAATGTACAAAAATTGAGAATCTATTTGTGCTTGTGTTTGTTTTTACTTTATTTTGGGGGTACCTTCTAAGAATTTAGCAATAGGACAGATTATTACCATTTTAAAGTGCTATGTATTTGTGTCTGAATGCATGTGTAGCATCTAAATAGGCGTGGATATGGTAGCTAGATTCTTTGAAATTAGGAAAAAGAATTTGGGAGAAGGATTGTATAAACAGCCTCCAAAAAAGGGACAGATATAGATTGAGATATTTAAAGAAGGGGGAGAAGAGTAGGGAAGAGAAATTAGAGGCAGCAGAGAGAATGAAACAAGTAGACCACAAGGGGTTATCATCAAAATGAGTGTACCTCAAAAAATAACTACCATTTCTTTCAAGCAGTGACTCCAAATGAAGGAAACCTGTTCCCACCATCTTGGGATGTATTTTAGATGTCATACA